TGTTTCTTCGATTACTGCTTGAGCTCTGTCCTCTGCTAACCATCACCCAGTCATGGCCACTTTCAGAATCACCAGCAATTATTTTCTGAGTCACGTTTAACTCTCAAATGTTTGGACATAGCCTTCAAGGCTGGGAAAGCCTAGCTGCTGCCACCACCTGTCACAGAATCCACATCCTCCCAACCACTGTGGGTGTGTCTTGAAAACACCTGGAGCCAGTCTCTCTTGCTATGGAGGTTTTCTCCTCTTATTTGATTTTATATCTTTTTTTTTTAATTACAGGTAATCCCATCCTACCAAAACACAATTCTGGGTTAATTGCAACTATTTTACAACTTACTAAAATAACTCCCAAATATCCTGGCTGTTTCAATGTTTCTTGTAATTAAATTGTAATTAAGATATGTATATCTTAATAAACCTTATAATTAAGATAGGATATGCACCATATCTTGCAGGTATAGAGAGTCCAGCAATGAGTGCATGTCTAGAAATCCATCATCATGATACTCTCCACATTTCTACTGCTTAAATTCCTAAAAATGCCCAGGACAAATTGACAAACTTTTTTTTTTAAAGTTTCCATTTTATTTAAATGTGCACACAAAGTTTGATATACTTTATAATATTTGTTCCAATATAAAAACACTGTTTACATTTATTCTCAGGTTAAGTTACCTAAATGGCCCCTCGGATTTGAATAAACATAAAACTTCCAGAAAAGAGACTTTAGAATATGTTGATCCAACATATCCTTGCACCTCTTGACATATCACCCTCCATCCCTGAATACCTGGCATATGACATAGCTGGTTCAGAGTGGTAAGAAACTTGGCCAAGATCACACAGCCAGATGTGGAACCACTGTAGAGCTATGTCTATTTGATTATGAGGTTCATGTGTTTTCTAGCATACATGGTGCACAGCACTCAGCAAAGACGATAAGATAGCAATGACATGTACAGCAACGTAGAGCTGAGTGTGATGTGAGGAATTCAAGGGCAGACGTATTTGCTCTGGTTGGTGAGATCAAAGATGGATTCATGGCATAATGACCTTAGAGCTGGGCCTCAGAGAGTGGCGAGCAGGAACTCAACAGCTCAGGAGTTTGGAATTTTAAAATGAAAGTGCCCCACAACTGAGAACATAGAGGGAGTTCAGGAAGTTAAACATGAGTAACCAGCTGGACTGGAATAGGGATATAAATGGAAGAAATGTAGATAAACAGGTAGGGGGAAAAAAAAGAAGAAGAAGGGGCCAAATCGTGAGGTTTCTTAGATGCCAGGAAAATTAGAGTTTTAGAGTTATAGACTGTTACTGATGGCTCTTTGAGTAAGAAAATGATGAATTTAAAGTGGAAAAATTAGTCTGGCAGCACTGAGCAGACCATTTTGGAGCATGAGTCAAGATGAGCCTGAAAATCCAAGGTGTGGCTGTGGGAATATATGAAGATGTGTGACTGTGGAAGTAGATTCATTAGCTCAAGGTAGCTGGTGTATATGGAAGAGGAAGAAGGAGATGCTAAAAAACAACGGTGACATTCCCAGCCAGACAACTGGAGGCAGGGGAGGAGGACATCATGAAGTGCAGCATGTAAGTCAGGATTAGGAGCTGGGTCAGAGCGGAGAGGTAGACATGATGTATTGGTTTTAGACATGGAACAACGTCTGGCTACGGGGAAGATGCGTCTGTCTATGTGTCCCATAAACAAATGAAACTAGATGGGAAAACATAGGGAGGGTTTGGTGCTGAGGAGGCCTATTTGGCAATAATCTGTACAAAAGACGATGGCAGAGAGGAAAGACAAGAAGTCAATGACAAAATTAAATCTCTTTTCTAGGGGTTTGGGAGAAGAAATCAAAACTTCTTTCTTAGGAGTCTGGGGTAAAACCAAAGAATGAACAACCAGAAGTAGAAAAAAAGGTCAACAGGAAATTAATAGTGAGTTTGAAAAGAAGACTTAAGTTTGGCAATGAGGGTTACTGTGATGTTTTAAGGAATTTCTAGGTCATAGGTTTTTAAACCATGAAAAGCCATGGGACACAGGATCATGTCTTAGAATGAGTCTCCCATCTTAGTGACGCTCTCTTCCAAACACAGCCTTTTTCAGAGGTAGTGCACCAACATGACAGTTAGGATCATGAAGAAAAGGACTTAGAGGAGGCAGTGAAAGGCAGACCACGAGGCACACCAGAAGTTTCCAAAGAATGCATCTTTTCTCCCCTCTGGAACTCATCCTTCCCTACAATGGCTCAGCCCCATATCAGTACACTCCTCAACTTGGATCTGTTCCCAGGCTTGGTTGTCCTTGAGTTAGACCATGACCTGATGCTGCCATTTAAAGAGAATCATGTAGCTTAGTGGACTTTTGAGTTTAAATCCTGGCTCTACTGATTACTAGCCAGACATTGATAGGATCTGAATTGTTTCCATGTGTGTAAAGAAAGGGGTAGCTATATGCAGAATATACTTTGTTTTTCCAAAAAAAAAATTCAAAGAAAAAAATCTAAGTTGAAAATCCATTGTGTAATGAGTATTCAATAAACAGTCTTGAGATTTCCCATGATGATGTTGTTGATGATGTTGAAAGAGGGGTTCCAAGGTTGAAGGTGGGACCTTGACAGCCTCTCAGCCTATTCTTTCCAAGCTTCTGAATGACTGCAGGACATCTTCCTTGGCTACCTCTCACCCTTGCTCTCCCCCTTCTAATCCAGATACCAAAACAGAAGACTCCAGTTCCTGTCTTAATTTCCTTCTAGCAAATCCTTGCTCAGCATTATAATCTGCTCTACCTAAAGTACCAGAGACTTCTGAATGAGAAGTCCAGAGGCCCTTTCACTTCATACTATTGGCCTTCTCTGCTCTGGCAGTGTTGAGCATTCATTCCTGTCTCATGAGGCTCTGGAGATGCCACATACTCCTGGTTCTCTTCGTGCCAGTCTAATTTGGTGCTCTTAGTTTTTTGGTATGTGAATCTTTTTCTCTCCCAACTCTTCAAGGCTGGTGCTTTCCACATGTATCCCAGCTGTGTTTTTTCTCACTCAGAAGCTCTTCCCCACGCTCCTGATTTTACTCCACACAGGTTGGGGATTCCCCAGTTGACTGGTCTCTAGTGCAGACCCACTCTCTGAGACTCATACTCATACACTGGCCTACGCTGGATGTACAACATTTCGGTTTTCAATGCACAATGCAATTTAACTATTTCTAAAGTTAAACTCAGAATACTCCTACCTAAAGGGATTTTATTCATCTATTCTTAAACACAATCACCTGTTGGTATTATACTCCACCCAAGTACCTAAGGTATTTGTCATCGGTATTCCTAGCTACCAAGGTTTAAAAATTCTGTCCTCTAAATATTTCTTGCCTTCTACCCTTAACACCCCCTCTACTCAATGAATCAGGTTTATATTACCTTTCTGTTGCTTGAACTGTGGCCACATCCTCCTACCTGGTTACTCTGCTTGCAGGACTATTTCCTGATAAAGGGCCTCCCAAAGCTGCCACACTGCTCTAAAACAAAAATTAGAACCTTAACTCTTTTATTTACGATTCTTTAATGGTTCATGATCCTAAGTCTGTAGGATAAAGTCCATGCTGCCTAACCGAAAAGGCTAACCTGCATGATCTGGCTAACCTGTCCTCTTGGCGTTCCTTGCTCTGAACTTCACACGCAATGATGCTGAGATTTTCTTGAGTAAATGAAGCTCCTCATGGTGCTGTTCTTTCCTCTGAGCCTTTGTATCTCCTGGCCATTCTGCTTCCACCCATCTCCAGCTGGCTAATGCTCTTCCATCTTAAGCCATTGGCTCTGCCATTAGCTCTCCTAAGAGGTTTTCCTGATTCTTTTCCATTGCTCCTTACTTCAACCTGAAGAGGTCACCGTCCTTTGGGTCCTTGCAGCTCAGCGGGAACTTCTTTAATATTTCTCTCATCACAAATGACAGCACTGCTGTTTAGTATGTTTGTATCCCACACCAGATCGTGAACACCCTGAGACAGGGTATGTGTCAATTTTAATTGTTTCCCTGGCATGCAGCACTTTACTGCACATTATTCTCTGGTACATCTCTGGAAAGGTTTGGAAGAGCCACGGGAGGAAACAAAATAATCCACAAAAGATGAACTGGGGAGGAAATGGGGTTTACTGAGGCCCAATCTAAGCTATAAATGGTTACACTGGAGTGAAGCCCTTACGCTTATCTGGTGACTTTTAGCCAAAGAATCTTCGGCCCAACATGGAAAATCAGAGGGTGAAGTCAGCCTAGTGTAGGTGGTCATCCAAAGAGGGAGAGGGATTCTACAGTGCAGGAGACCAGCTGCAGGGACAGCTAAAGTCAGAAAGGGCTTTGGAGATGTCACATACTCCTGGTTCTCTTGGAGCCAGTCTAATTTGGTGCTCTTAGTTTTTTAGTATGTGGTATGAATAATAAAGACAAGAGAGCCGAGTCCAAGAGAAGGATGCCAACAGAGGCAAGGATGGGGCTCCTGAGGAGAGACGATGATGCGGCAGGGAGGAGAGTGGTGGGTATGCCAGGATGCTTGAAAACTAGGAGAAAGCACCCCCCAGTTTTAAAGATGAGAATCTAAAACAGTGATGTTAGAGAATAGAAGTTCAAGCTTCTGGAAAAAGCATCTTTGAATTCATAATTTAACCCTCCCCCAAAGCCCCAAATCATTCTGTTGTGTAATTAATACATTTTTGTGATAAAAGCCAGTTGGGGAAACCTTTTGACATTTTTTGCATCACATTCTAAAATCAGAGAATCATACAGATTGCAGAAATAATGACAGAATAGCTTTGGGATGCAATTCTTCTATTTATGGAAGCAGAGAATTCCAGTGTGCTTTTCTGTTACATAATCTGAATTTTATCCAGCCTTCATTTTCAAGTAGATTTTCCAAAAGCATGACAAATGAAAAAAAAATTATTCTAGCCCCTCTCTCCTGCTAAACAGTTTATTCATCTATTCTTTTGGCATATGGAGAACACTTACCACAGATGAAACAGGTTGTTTTCAAAATTTCTTCTTTCTTCTGTTTTTCACTTCTGAGATCAGCAAAGGTATCAATGATAACTCCAAAAATCAAGTTAAGAACAATAATGATGACAATGAAAAAGAACAGAAGGTCATAAACCACTCGGGCAGCAAACAAGGGTTCCTGAAATAAAATTTTAAGAAAAAATATAAAATATTATACATAATTTCAAGTTATGTTGATCTGATTTAGCAAACTGCCTAGCACAAATATATGTTCAATAAATGCAAATAATATCCACAGTTGTAAAAATAACCCCCACTTTCTATCTTTATCTTCTTTTAAGTATTTTAAGATAAACTGCTTAGCCTATTCTCAAACCCTTCCACTTCTGTAGGTTGGCATATTTTTCTGCCCAGTGGAGCGGACTCACCTTTCTTTAGAAACTATTTTATTTTGGGATTCCACTAAATGCATTTTGGCACAGTGGGCCACATTCCAGACACTACACAAAATGTAGTTAAATACTAATTCCAAAAGTCAGCAATTAGGGAGCTGAGAGGATCTAAGTGTTTGTCAATTTCTGGAATAGGTTTGTCCTCAGTGTTAAGAGGTCAAGGATATAGAGTCCATGCTTATTTCTACCTGGTGAACAGTATCAAAATATACATTAGAGGGGGCTGGGGTTGTGGCTCAGCGGTAGAGTGCTCGTCTAGCACATGCGAGGTGCTGGGTTCGATCTTCAGCACTACATTAAAAAAACACATAGATAAAATAAAGGTATTGTGTTCAACTACAGCTAAAAAAAACTTTTTTAAAAATATATACATTAGAGATCATGTAATTCAGTTTAACCACTGACGGACCTGAGTTTATAAGTTTAAATGACTTGACATTATACAATCGGCCAGCTGCAGAATTAAGACTTTAAAGCTCTTAGCCAGGCATTCAAGATTTTATAATTATTAAAATTTTTTCCTTCCTTGCCATTTTAATATATGAAATCCTATTAGAATTTGTTCAAAGTTTATATTCATCATGGATAAATAATGAAGGCTCTTCCCAGGCAGAAGCAAAGAGTAAATCTTTATGTCTGAGAAACCTGATAGACAAGAGGCGGCCTCCTTGCTGTGATTTATGTAGCAATCAACCCTTAGATGAAGTTTGCAGTCATGGTTCTGTTGTGGTAACAGAATACAGAGGTCAGACATGGATGCATTTCATAACCCTACTAGCATACATAGATTGTTAGTGCTACAGCTATTTCTGTGTAACCCTAGTATACAATTAGCAGATGTTATTGGCCACTGTCAAACAATATAGTACTATGAAAACAAAATCATATTATAAATGCTATTAAGAAAGGTTGCAAAAAATAATTATATGCTTCTTGGAAAAAATACTTCTCCTCTGACTTACATCTTTGGACGGCTTTCTGAGCACATCCCCCACGCCACCACCGTTTCTGAGGCCCTGGTTCAGCACAGTGACAATGCACATAAGAAGAGTGTCACATGTCCTTTCAATGCCATCTTCATACTCTTCGTCAGCTATGAAAACACATAAATGATATTGCAAACCTACATTTTAAAAACATACTGTTATCTATTTCCAAAGATATACTTCTGACTGTGCCATTACACAATTTTTAAAGCCACATGACATCTACTTCTTATGTGTCGGCACATGACTGACACACACTGATGAAGACACACTTTTAATTTCCTGAAATATTTTTTTTCTTGCACAGATGGAAAAATGACAGAATGGAAAGGACAAAATATAAGAAAGCCAATATTCACTGTGCATTGTTGTGGTGGGAAGAGATTGTGGTAAAACCTCCACAAACAGCCATGTCACCTAGGAGACACAAGTCTCACAGAGGAAAGAGCATGAACAAGGAAGCCAGGTAGACCAGGCTTCAAGTCCTGCTGTGTTCCAGAAGGCTCCAGAATGTTGAACCTCAACATCCTCATCTGCAAAATGAGAAGGGCTGTTTAAGGATTAAACCCTTCCGAAGGTTGTTCAAAGATTATGTTTATGGTATGTAAAAACTGCACTGACTGCTATACACTTCAGTAGGTGCCTACATTTTGGGCAGGCACAATTATTTCGTTATTTTAGTTAAGTTTCTAAGTTTTCTTAAGGAACAACTTGGAGGTACGGATGAGAAACACAATGTATTTATATGAAAACCTTTACTCAGGGAGAAATGGGCAGAGAGAAAAAGGCATTACATAACAGAAAAATTCTTAGGCTGGACTAACATTGTCTAAAGGTATAGTTCTCAGACCTAAAACATAATTTCCTAATAATTTAAAATAGTAACAAACTCATACTAAGTTGGATGTTAGAATCAGAATGTTCTAACATTAATAAATGAGCAGAAGGGTGGTTTTTTTTGTTACAAATTAAAACAAACAAACAAACAAAAAACATAGGGGCATTGAATTTTGGGATTCTGTAACTACAGTCTATATGTCCAGGCATGACTGCACAAGCAACCACCAGTAAAGCAAAGAAAAAGAATCTGTCTATGTGATCCTTGACCAATAGCTGGTTTAGCTCATTGTTAGGAAAGACTGATTTTTCCTTTCTGAACAGATTTCAACACTGTATGAATGAGGGATTCTGGTATTTTTACTTTCCTTAGAGCTGTCCCTTTTTTAACATGCTGGGATACATCTGGCTGCAGCCAGGGATGGGCAAGCATGAGAGGTGGCTTCAAAGACAGTGGCAGAACCTGCGGTGGTCACTTACCTCAGAGCTGAACCAAGGCACACTGTGGTTTAGAAAGCAGGAGAAAGAAAACTCCCTTTGGAGGAAGGAACAATGGGGAAGAGGTGTTGGGGCAGAGCAGACAAGGCAAGTGGGCGAGCAGTGGACTACGCTGTCTGTAATGTGCTAGCTAGGATCTAACACATGGGGGCAGATCCTAACATGATGGCTGAGAAGAATGAGAAGAAAAAGGGTTAGAAATGTGTCAGCAAATGAAAGAGAAAAATGGTTTTCCAGTAAGGAGGTCACATGGAACATGTGTATATGCTACTTTGCTACAGTTAGATTTTCAAGCAAAGCAATCTTATATCTAGTGGTATGGTCTGCATTCATTTAATCATTCAGTAACTGCTTGGTCATGTCACAACAAACAGTTGCTAAGGACTTATCAAGTATCATAATCAGTACATAAAAGTGACAAGAGGGGCTGGAGTTATAGCTCTGTGTAAGAGCACTTGCCTAGCATGTATGAGGCACTGGGTTCAATTCTCAGCACCACATATAAATAAATAAAGGTCCATAAACAACTAAAAAAATATTTTTAAAAAAGTGACAGGAAAGTGCTCCTATCTCTCCTCCAAATATGGAAATGAGGTTCTTTATTATCTAAGAAGTGAGTTGACAAAATCCATATGCAACTCCTGTGATTAGCCATAGTGAAATAAAATTGATTGGCTGCAAATACATCATGAGAGAATGGATGGTCGGTGTGCCATGTAAAAAGGCAGAGAAGGCCCAGGTCAGGCCAATGTCAGCATCAGTCCAGTCACCCTGCTCAGTACTAATCAGTGGATGGGCTCGTGGTTTAGGCAGGAGCCTCTATGAGCTTGGTTAATAATGTTCTACCTTTGTGGACTTAAAAACAACATACTACAGGAACATAGCCACATCAATGCTTATAGCAGAACAATTCACAATAGCTAAACTGTGGAACCAATCTAGATGCCCTTCAATAGATGAATGGATAAAACAAAATGTGGCATATACACACAATGGAATATTACTCACCATTAAAAGAAAATAAAATCATGCAATTGCAGGTAAATGGATGGCATCAGAGAAGATAATGCTAGATGAAGTTAGCCAATCCCCAGAAACCAAATGCCGAATGTTTTCTCTGATATAAGGTGACTGACTCATAGTGGGGTAGGGAGGGGGAACATGGGAGGAACAGGCGAACACTAGATAGGGCAGAGGGATGAGAAGGGAAGGGAGGGGGCAGGGGGTTAGAAAGGATGGTGGAATGTGACGGACATCATTATCCAAAGCACATATATGAAGACACGAATTGGTGTGAATATATTTTATATACAACCAGAGACATGAAAAATCATGCTGTGTATGTGTAATAAGATTTATAATACATTCTGCTGTCATTTAGTTTTAAAAAATCAATAAAAAAAGCTCTACCTTTGTGAGATGGATCCACTCTCAATTTGTTAGGCCAAGTTCCCAGACCTACAGGCTGAAAGTCAGGGCCCATGTCATGATAAATTCACATAGATAAATGCCACCTTGTGGTTACCTGTGTAACCAGCTGGCCTTCCCCATATCACATCTGCCTTGTTCATTTCATCATACCAGCAGCCACTGGCTAGGTGCTAGGAATAGAGGTGAGAGAGATGAGGGTGTCCGGGTCCATAGGACACATGGTCCTAGAAAAGGAAAGGGGTAGGCATCCTGAAAGCTGGTGGCACCTGAGGGGAGCCTAGAAAGACAAGGCACGCCGGGAGAGTAAAATCAGTGAAGTAAGGCGTTCTGGGCAGATAAAATGGGATGAGCAAAGGTGAACAGGTGTGGAAGCACACGGGGTGTTGAGGGAACCCCAGGGGGATGGAGGCCATTGGGCCTTTGGTATATGAAGAGGCGTGTGGAAGGCACGAGAGAAGAGCTGTGGGAGCAGAGCTCGGGGATTCCATCAAGCTTGTATTCTGAAAGCTGTGGGGAGCAACTGGAGAGCTTCCAACAGGGGCAAAGTTGTTTACCCTCTGGTTGGGGAAATAGTATGAGAAAAACATGTACACTGCAAAATAGCTCGTGATCAAACACACAGAAGTGGTACCAAGCCATCAGTGCAGCGCGAGAACCTTCCACGCCACGTATAATTGGCGAGGTGTCTCAATAATTAACACAGAGCTTGAGTTTATCTTGAAAACTCAGTGGCCTAAGACTTGAGCAGAGACACATCTCACGTGGCATAAGCAGAAAGCCACAGAGGTGGAGAGATATAGGCTTGAACAATGAACAGCAAATAATAAACCAGTGAGTTCACAGGAGAGGAAGATGAAGTGGGAGCGATAAACTGAGAGCTCTCTGTGAAGCTTCAGGGAGTGTGGACTTTATTGGGCAGGTAATGGAGCATCATGGAAAGGCTGACCAGGGGTACAGGAGGAAATATTCAGAGCAGTGATTTCTGACAAGTAGTGTAGTGGTGATAAACTGGGTGAACTGAGGAGGAGAGAATGACTGGAGGTAGAAAGACCACTTAGGAAGCAGTTGCAATAATTCAGGCATGATGTGCTATGAGGCTTTACCAGGATAATGGCAAAGAACAGGGGGAAGGATGAACGAAAGGAGCAGATGGGGTTTTAGGCATGAGGGAGAAGGCAGCATTGAATACCATCCCAGGGCTGTCCAGCCAGTGGTGACGTGGGAAAAGGATGGTCCCATTAGACCACAAAAGTAGGCAATTCAGATGGAGGAACTGGATATAGGCTGTTCTGATGAAGACAGGGAAGGAATGTTGATGATTTTTATGTGTACAGGATGAGATGACAGACATTTTTTAAAAAGTCAGAGAAGACAAGAATTCTGGGTGAAATTCAGGAAGAGAATAATTTAAACATGAAAGGGATGACAAAAAAATTGAAATTATGGAAGAGTCAAGGGCAATGAGAGGTGAGAAAAGGTCATAGGATTTAACAATAAGGTCACTGGGTACCAGCAGGAAGAGATGAATAATAACAGAGAAGGTGGTTGCTGCACAGATTGAAGGAGACAGTGTAGGCCCAATTGTTTCATAAGAAACTTTGGTATTAAAACTATTAGTTTGGTGGAAACCAGAGGGAGATTCAATTAGAACCTAAAGTGTATGTAAAAAGAGGGAGACAAAGCAAAAGATTTCAGATGCAAAGCAATGGTCCTCCTGGTGACCAGGGGGTAGGGACAGTAAATGGAGGTGATTATGAAAGCAGAGAGAGCATATGTTGGTTATAAACAAAAGGAAAGAATTAGTGGAATCTGACTTTCAGTGTAGCAACACTGAAAAGGTCTACATATTCACATGTAAAAAAATTTGGAATAGTACTTGGTACATAGTTAGGACTCAACAAATTCTAGCTATTGTAATTACCATTACTGATTAATGGCTTTTACATCTTAAGAAAAGGTACGGTTTTAACATAATTAACAAATTTGATATTGGAACAATATGAGGTTAAATTATCCATTTTCATTTGACTATTGTTAAATATTTTTCTCCATACTGTAAAAAAATCTTTCCTATGAAGACAGGAATCAAAATAAATTTTATTGTTTCTGAAACAGTTCCCTCTCATCTGAAGTGGTAGTCTATAAAATTTTTTAAATACTGGACATGCTTAAATAAGATTTACTAATGTAACCTTTTTTGCATTAATAATTAAATAATTCAGTTTATGGTTTCTGAGAAAGAAATGGATTATCACTGAGATACATTTGGAAATCTGAACACAACTGAGAAACCCATTTTTTTAAAAGTCTTCAGCTTTAATTAAAATCTATCTATTATGGAATTGCTGATTTGAAAATTTTTAACTAGGAAAAAATTTTAAAACACCAGGCATTCTGTAGGAAGCCAAAATGTAGAGTGCATCATGCTGACTGGTTTCTGGTACTTATTAATCTTTTCTATTAAAGTAAAATATCGAAACATGTTAACTTTGAATTACTTATAAATGTTAAACAACTGTGAACCTCCTCCTTTTTTTCCTGTATATTCAGATGGCTTTTTACTTACAGCATAATTGTGATTATATTTTGTAAATTATCTCAAAAATGTTTTGCTTTTCTAGAAAAGTCAGTTCAGGGGTTCTTTTTTTAAAAAGTCTATATTTTTGTCTAGGAATCAGGGCGGTCAGTAGCAAATGAAATAAAAGTTTTTTTGTTTTTTTTTTCCAACCACAGTTGGTTGCCAGGTACCATGTGAATTTTCTGCTGTTGGGACAATAACCTTACCCACATCCACAGGAGCCTTCCCCGGGAGCTGGTGGCTCTGCCTCCCAAACACCACAAGGCTAGTTATTATGCCACTGTGTGTGTCTGGGCCTTTTGTAATGTGGACCTGCTGTCCACAAGGTAACAAACCAAGGCCCTCACAAATGCACACTAGGGTTTGCAAATTAAAATTTAATCCTGGTTTTAGACATAGAAAAGTTATTTTTAAATCTAAGTGACACACGCTGCACAACAAACACCAGGTTTTAGCTTTCACTCCACTTCTGCAGTTAAATATCTGAGTTAAATACAAAAGTTAAAGGAAGATCAAACCCAAAGAATTTTCAATGAAATGAATTTTAACACTTGCATGTCAAGCACAAAAAAGGATATGGAAGAAAAAGTAGATTAATGTAGGCATTTCTATATTTTTAAGACTGACTTGAGAATAATTCTTAAGTGTGAAAAGCTCTTGCTACCATGTAGGACTCCCCACCGTGTCTCCAACACACTTCCAGAGCTGAAACTCTGCTACCATCCAGCTGGAATCCTTGCTTTCTTCCTACCTTGGCAGCTTTCCTTGCAAAAGCATTTCTACCTTTCTTCCCACTCCTAGCTCAGCTAGAGCCCCAAATGATACAGACTTTGCCTCTGGACCATGCACCTGGGAGAAAGAATTGTCTCCACTCGTCCATAGAGAAAGGGAGAGGTAAGGTCTTCTCATCACATTTTAGGTGAACAGTAATATGGTATAAAAGTTTTCAGAAAGCTTTTTTTTTTTTAACTTGTTACATGAAACATTTATTTTGAACATGCTGAACAAAGTTTGTACCAAGTATTGTATTCCTACCTCAGCTGGAATGAAATACAACATAGAAAGAAAAAGCAACCACCAACATGTAGGCTATGCCTGGTGTCAGAAAGTCTTTTTTAATAGATTATATTCAGCAGGAAAGACAGTAGAATGAATCAGACATAACTTTCCTATGTTCATATATGAATATAAGATCAGCACAATTCTACATCATGTACAACACAAGAATGGGATCCTAATTAGAATAAGTTATATTCCATGTATGTATAAATACATGTCAAAATATAATCTATTGTCATCAATATCTAAAAAGAACCCATTTTTTAAAAAGTGAAAAAAAGTGTGTATTTAGAGTTTTAAACCAATGTCCAGACAAAACAAAGTTTCTCAGCCTTAACAATATTAATGCTTTGGACTGGATGATTCTTGGTTGTGGGCTATCCTCTGCTTTTTGGATATTTAGCCCCCCTAGCCTCTATCAGATATCCAGCCTTGGTTATGAAAACCAAACACACCTTACTCCATGCACTCTCAGATGTCACCAGGGAAAGGGAGTAGGAAGCAAAACCAAGTCCTGTTGATAAATATGCAATGAAGAATGTATCCAAGAAATTGCCTTCCACATACAACATGCTTAAAGAAAATCCATGCATGCATACTCAGTGAAAGGCAATCTAACAGGTGGAATTTTAACAATCTCTGAATTTTGGATAGGGGGAAATAATTTATTAGAGATTAATCCTTTAACTGGAAAGAAATAACAGTCAGACAGAGTGCTGGCTTTGGAATCAGAAATCCACATTGATTTCCAAGCTCTGTGATCCTGGCAATCAAAGTCTTGATTCTTCCAAATTTTATCTAAAATACAAAAATAATTAGTCCTGTCTCTCTCAGTCATAGAAGTGTTGTGATGATTAAATAACATCATGCACACAAAGTGTCCAGCACAGTACCTGAAATGCTAAGCCTGGTCCAGGTCTTTGAAGACTGGGCAGGACCTCACTCTTATTGTTCCCTGTGCAGGAAGCACTCTTCCTCATCTTGACCTTATTAAGTCTCAACTAATTTCTCTGAGAAAGGTCTTTCTGTATAATTTACCTATAGCCAGTCTCTCTTTTGATTACTGACCACGGAATTAGCCTTATTTTATAGCTTTTCATGCTTCCACCAATATTTTATGATTATCATAAGGGCCAGGGTCATGGTGGCTGGCCCAGAGTAAGGGCCCCAGAAATCTTTATGAATGATGGTAAAAGGAAGAAAGGGAAGAAGGAAGGGAAGGAAGAATGCAGGAAGGCACAGGTTTTCATTATTATTAATACCATCTGTGGGTAACATACAGTTTCCATTACATCTTTTTCTTTAAAACATTTTAAAATGTCATAATCATTCTTAGGTCAAGCTGTACAAAAACAGGTGGCAAGCCATATTTATCCTATTGTAGAACTTATCAAACTTGAGGATGACAAGAGAGGGAATAAGTATACTACTCTGAGGCTCATGGCCTACTTGAACTGGAACCGCCCTGAAACTAAGAGATCATCTGGTCAAAAAACTCCTCATCTATTCACTGGATAATCTGCAAAGTCCTAGGATTATGAGTTGGCAGAAACAGAGAGAAATAAATGCATGGTTTCATATGTGAAACCTCAAACTCCCAATTATATGAGTACAGGATGGGTATTTAGGGCTTAACAGCTAAGCCAGTGAAGAATGGCATTTCAGTTACGAGTCAGCCAAATACGGGTCAAGAGTGTGATGCAATCCCCAATTCTGCTACCCAGAATGCAACAGCACCATTCAACTGCTTGCCTTGGAGTATTACATCAAGAGTCACTGCTATAATATGTGAGGAAGGCTGAAGAAATTGGAGATGTTTAAATTGAAGGATGCATGTAATAGGATTTTGGAAACTGCAGAGCACAGCAATGCCACATGAGCTGAGGAAAGCTGGTTCTACTACGGTAAGCCTTAACTGGAAAGCAGGGGCAGGGGGGAAAAGGAGTCTTGGTGGCAGCTGCTCACAGCACCTGTAGATACTGGGAGCTTGGATAAATGTGTTTAATCCTCCCTTTAGGTCATAAAGCGTGAACTATCTTAGGGAAAGAAAATGTCTATTTCCCCCCAAGCAATAGTCCAACATCTCAAAGCAAAAGACAACTAGGAAAGAAGGCACTGTTGTTATGACTAGACAGACAACATGCTCCATCCTTACATTCTTTTCCCCCTTATCTTCCCAGAGTCTAATTTTGTCCTCTGTAGACACAGAACATCTTCTTCAATCATATCTACTCCTGTTTATATATGGCAGCTCTCAAAATATTTAATGACACATAGTCCCTGTGTCTTTCTTCACTGCTTCAAGAAATAGATCATTAATTTCTTCTATGTTCAGGAAACATCACACTTGCTATAGTTTCCAGACTCCTGCCACTCCTAAAAGAATATGGAGTTTAAAAAAATCATTTGTATATGCAGTGTCTCACTAGCTCCTGTGGAAGTAGGGAAATTTTCATTCATTCTTTCATTGTCTCTCTTTGCAAGCCACATGAACAAAGTCCAGGAAATTTTCAAAATATATCCAAGACATGTAGCTAGGGAGTAGTAGATCCACAATTATAGCTGAGTTTTTGGAGTTCTAAGCCTGTGCTTTTCCAAATCCTTTGTTAAAGTCTATATAGTCAAAAGAGACTCGGAATGGTTTGTCATATGGTAAAAGAATTTTAGCAGCATGTACCATGAAGTTGCTAAATTATCATGAATAGCAATAATACAAGGAAATAAGATAAGGATTCAAAATAACAGACAAGATAATTTCTTTTTCTCTAGTTTGGATACTCTGGGTTCTTTTAGCCTCTATTCTTCTATTTCATCTCATCATGAAATTCCTAGAGCAACTTTCTTAGATGTAATTAGCGTTACTTCAGAGGTATCAAGTTTATAGCATCCTAGAGTTCTTTCTACAGACCTGTATTTGAAGATGGTATTGTGGGTGAACAGTTTTCCTTTTCACATGCTTCCATCATGGAAGGCAAAGTCATGGTAGGAACTCCATAATTACCTAAGAAGATACAAAGCAGAGTGTGGGTAGAAATGAGTATGCAAACAATAAGAAATTAACACACAGATTCCACTTAACTATGATGCTAAAGTCTTTTAGTAAGTTGGTTTGAAACCCTGAACAGAGTTTTGTCTATTGAAGCAATTTTATAGTGAATAGATTAATGGACCAACTCACTAAAAGTATTTTTTTAAGTGGCTTCGATAAAGTATTGCTAATATTTAGACCTTAACTACCATATGTAAGAATGTTTGTACGGCCAGATGCATCCAGGGTTCTGAACTGGGGTGCCAAGAACACATTCCCTCAATGCAACTGGCAGTCCTTGAACTCTAAGCACTTGACCCTATGGCTGAGGTACAGACTAGAGTCAGTGGCATTTCTAGCAGTAAAGTATGGGCTGCAGGGAATAAGGGCATAAAATAACCCAGGGAAGGACAAATCTTTTTGCCAGATCCCTGTTCAGGATCTTTCCTTTCTTTCATTGTCCCCAGAAACTCATCTACCTACCTATTAGTTTATTTGCCTGGTACAGAATGGAACAGAAAATAGTAATCTTCCTATTTGTATGAAAGAAATTTTTCTTTGACTCAGAAGCTACGATAAGAGTAGAAATGGCAAATGGGAGCTGGAGTTAGAAGGGAAAGTGAGGAGGAGGGGAACAAGAGGTGGGATTGTCAACTACCAAAGCACTCAAGCACTGGGGCTGAGAGCTAGGTCCACTGTGGAAAAGGAGACCACAGATCTCAGGCCTCCATTTCTCCCTGCCCCTGACTGTGGGCATATCACCATCAGTACTGACATGGGAAAGGGGTGAGAATCAAGTGGTCAGAGAGGGACAGAACTGGAGTTTCTCAATGTGCTCTGGTGGCTATCCCCTTAATAGATATCTACTCGAGTCCTATGCTAGGTTCTAAGGGCTCAGATTTGAGGTTTTGAAGAACTAAAAGTCAAGTAGGCAACACAGAGAGTTATAGACATAACTGCAGTGGAACAGAGAAAGTGAAGTACAGGTTGAAAAAAAGTGTAATGCAACAGGAGAGGGAGCAGTGAATTCTAGAAGAGAAATAAAATAGATGTTTTACTTGCATGAAGATGAGGCAGGGAGTCAATAGGGTAATTCCAGGTGCAATCTGCCTAACAAAGGGCATAGAGACCACAGAAGGCACAGAGCAGGCTGAGTGACCTCAGCTACCAGAACACTTTGCACCAAGCATCCCATAGCCAGTCAGACTCACGGCTGTGGTCATAATGACTAGTGCAGGTAGGCAGAAGACAGGCTATAGGTGAAAAAGCCACATGGGCAGCTCATGGAGGATACTAGAGAGTAAAAATGAGGGTGATAAACAAGAGGGTGAACTGAGGATGGGGAAGAGGGACAAGTCACCTCAATTTTTCCACAAAATTTTCCCTCCAAGTTCTTGGGCTTTTCTGAGACATGGGTTCTCTTGGAAACTGTTCAAGTGAAATTTTCTTTTGAGTTGCAGAATATTCTGGTAGGAACCACTTTCTTCTAAAGTCTCAAAGCAATTTGCAAATAATGAGTCCTGCACTCTCACATACACCTGTGATGCTTTTGCCATTAGCTCCAAATGCCCAGCCTCTGTGCTCCCATCCACTGGTTTTCTGGTCAGCACTTCACACTCACAGAAGAACTGCATACTTCTACACTCCAAATTTCACTTGCTCCCCAGTGTGTTATCCTCAGTCATTCCACTCCACACACATAGTCAACTTTGCAAGTAAATGGTATCCAATACTTGAAAGAGTAAATTTTATATCATGTTTCAACAGAGTTACTGATATAGTTTGTATGTCCCCACCAAAACTCATGTTGAAATTTAATCCCCACTGTGAATTATTATGAGGTAGGGCCAGGTGGGACCTTTACAGGGTGATCACATTATGAGGGTAAGAGTGGGTCTGTTATAAAAACCAGTTTGGCTCTGTCTCACCATGTGGTACCCTCTACCATAGGAAGATGCTTCAAGAAGACCCTCACCGGAGGATGCTGAGCAGATGTCAGCTCTATGCCCCTGGACTTCCCAGCCTCCAGAACTGTGAGTTAAACACAACTTTGTTCTTTATAAATCATCTAGTCTCAAGTAATTTGATATAAAGCAGATACAACATGGCATTAGAAATAAATAAAAAATATAATGAAAATAAGGGTGCTTTTTCTAGGGCATTACATCATATACTACTCAATCTATGAAACAAAAACTCTCAATCTGTGAAGAATCAGGAGTGTAACTTTGTTAGTTAGCTCTTTCCACATGCTAGATTTTCATAGCATTTACAAAAGCTTTATTTAACAGCTTTCTATATGAATGTGCATAAGTATTTTTAGTAAAGAGCTTGAAATTATAGCTCTAGTGTTGCTTATTTTGTTAAGAAGGGTATTTTTTCCATTTCTAAGGAAAATATTTATATTCATAATATGACACCAACTTCCTTCTTAAGTAACACAAAATATGTACCACTGAATTCATTAAGACAATAACTACCATAAACATTTTGAATTCAGAAATTACAATGTTTCTGTTTTAGATTGGCTCTGTACTGAGCAACTTAATGTGATCATGCCTCTAGTCTAGCAAGTAAGTAAAATGATAGAACTGTTTATGATTCATAGTTTAGTAAAAGTGGAGCTTCACAGGTATTTATGTATGAGCTTTTCCACCAAATATGTAAAACCTGTATTAATGTGTACAAAGCAATACTTAAGGAAGAACAAAGAAAGCAGTAGCAGAAAATATTCAGGTTATTGTAAAAAAGACTTAACACCTAGGAATGAAAGTCAGTAGAGTCCCTGCTTAATAACTTTCCATTCATGTATTTAATGTTTCTATTCTGTGCTTAGATCACTTAGAATTACAAAAGATTGAAATGTCACTTAATTATCACATAGTCTAAGAAAGATAACACCATACACTGTCAATTGAATAATTGAGAAATGTTTGTTAAAGACAAGAAAGCGTATCATTTATAAGGCAATGCTAATTAAATCTTATTTTTAAGTTTAATGGTTTGAGGACAGGCTGTGCCATTTTGTGGTTTCTATTCTCTACAAATCATAACCAGCAGATGCACCAGAAAAATTATCAGCAAAGGCAGGACTATGATTCTATGTAGAAAAGCAGGAGGTGGGGAACAAGAGCAACAAAGAAATTTAACCAAAACAATAGAAGGTAAGAAAGACGTGGAAAGGAGTCATTAGAAAGCATGATAATTAAAACATCCAAAGTAACATGGAAAGAATACGCCCCGAATCATAGTGAGCAGGAATGGGTGCTGCCAAACCACTCAAATAACAAAAATCTAGACTGTACAGGATGCTGAAAATCACCTGCTGATAGACTGGGTCCCTTCATCACAGTATTTCCAGCATATCTTCCAGATTAAATTCCTTACTATTTGATGGGTTTCAAATCAAAGCATTTATCATTTTCAATTAAATATAATATGGTATTGTACTGCAACCGAGCATATGGAATCATGATTGCAAATGGATCAAGGAAAAAGAGGAGGGAAAGAATTCCAAACCCATTATTCTGCACTGAAGATGCTGACTTCTGGAGTATGGTCGGCATTATTGAAATTTTCTTCCTGAGAGTGAGCTTAGATGATGTTTCTTGTGTGGGTATTTCCCTATACATATTAACAGCTAATATGTACTCTGAAAGTACTGCACGCTCCTGACTTTCAGTAGTAAACAAGAACATGTTTTCAAAGGAATGAAAGAAAAATTTCCTCCATTAGAGTTTTATCTATAATCCCACAAACAAGCTACATACAATCATATCTGCCGTCAGAAAGCTCATTCAGTGGAAGCAACAATACCTGTAACTGGAGTTCTGTTTTTCAGCCTATGCACTTCCATAGTGAAGTCATCCTTCAGGAAAAGGAACCCAATAATGGAAAACAGGTAGACGAGGATGAGAGCCAGGACTGCGGTTAGAATAATGGAGCGGCCATTCCGTGTGACACTTTTTATGACATTGAGCAGAGTCTCTTCTCTGTATACCAAATCAAAAAGCTACAAAAAT